ATCATGATCCTGAACAACATTGAAAAAGTTTCAGCCATTGTTCGGACACCTTGAATAATGCTATTGTCGACGGTACTGTAACTTTCAAGCTTCATAACTCAAGATTTATTTACCGAAAATACATTTTACCTATATGTTTTGGAAATCTCTCGAAATAAGCTACAAGAATATGTAACGAAAAATAGAGAGTTCCATTTAAAAAATTTAAAGTGACCTTGTCCTGACCTTGACGACGCCACTCAGGGTCAAACCAATATTATCATCTTGTCCCCTTCAAAGTCCCAAAACTTTTGTTTGAAAAATTTTTCTCTCCCGGGTTTGATTTTCGAGATATTCGACTGGATAGATTAAAATGGCCCACCCTGTATATAAAACATGTATATGTATATATAGTCAATACACATGTCCAAAATAAGAACATAAAATAAGACATCTAAAAATGTTTGATGTTGTATTGATGTAGTATATATACCTACTATAATATGTATACTAAATCATAATTTGAAATCTTTTTGCAGTGAATTAGAAGCAAATGCAGATGCAGAAAAGGAAAAAAGACTGCAATAGAAATACAAGAGCAACCAAGTCCTGCAGTAGAAAAAGAAGAAAGAAATGAAATTGTTAAAACTAGCATAGAAGAGAAAACTCAAATGGATGTTAAAATTATGAAGTCGTAAGTTTTTATATAATTTACTGTTATTATCCAACTTATTATTGCATTCGTGTATATTCAATATATATATATTAGTGTTCATAAATATTATATGCGAAAATATACAAAAGAATTAATAAAAGTTGGTAAATATAATTAGTCTAATAATTATTATCAAATTATTTTATAAAATTAAAGAGAAAAATAGATAATCGCATATTTCTTATACTTTTATATTTTTAAGTTTTTAATAATAATATATATGTATATATTTTTTGATAAAATAATACTATATAATAACATATTAACCAGATGTAAAGGTCAACAAATAAAACATTCATGTATTTTTATTTTTTTATACGGTATTATTTTTTTATTAATACTTATATTGTATTATATATATTTATTATTCTTTTTACTTTACAATTAAATTAAATACTTTATCTGGTTTTTGGTTTTTTTATTTTTTATCTTTTTAGTTTTTATGATTTTTATGTTTATTTAGAACCACATCTAATGCTTCTCACAATATGGTTTCGAAAGCAACGATGACATCAAAGAAAAAGAACAGTCCTACCAAGGAACGATTATGTACAACCATCAAGAAATTGAAATTAAAAAATAAAATTCTTCAGCAAAAACTGCGACGTCTTCAAAAGAAAGAAAAACAAAGGAACTCCACTAAAGAACCAGCATATAAAGAAGCTGAGGTACAAAATAAAAATTTTCAAACTTTAAAAGAATTAGGAAATAAGTTATTACCCGAAAAATTTAATATGTTATTGTCAGTACAAGTAGACGCGCAAACAAAAGGCAAACGTGGAATACGATACAATAATGAATTTAAAAAATTTGCACTATCAATGTACTTTCTTGGTCCGCGAAATTATAAAGAATTAAGAAAATCAATAGCATTACCTTCTGTCCGCACTTTACAATCATTTACATATAATTGGGATGTTGTGCCTGGTATTAATATAAAACTCTTTGATGCTTTAAAAATAAAATTAAATTCATTACCTATTATAGAGCGACATTGTATATTGTGTGCGGACGAAATGAGTTTAAAATCTAGATCGGAAGAGCAC